GAAGGAAATCCAGGTGCATACCCGTGACACAGCTCAACCAGGTACAACTGACAAGCCACACAATACATTTTCAGCCAAACCATAATGGGGAAATGACTATGTTAATTATCAGTTGCCTAAAGAGTATAAGTCAAAAGGGGGTGGGTCATCTGTCTGCAGAGCTAGGGTGTCAGGAATCTGAGTTCCCACTGTGCTCCTGTGAGAGAGGTCAGCTGAGATCACAAGGAACATGTGTGGATGATGATGATGATGATTAAAAACACGAGACACAGTCAATCAGAATTCTAAAAACATTGATTGGTGTTATATTAAAGATACAAGTTTTAACCAAAAGCGTAAGTATCTGTTAAATATTGGCACAGTAGGTACATATGCTGTTCCTAATACTGTACTGCCTATTTTGTAACTGGTGGTGTTATTTCTGAGATCTGCATTAATTATTATTTCATTTTTATGCTGCCCATCTGGCTGAAGGCCACCTGGTTTGTTTCCTTGGATGTCAAAATGACCAGGGGTGAGGATTGACCACGCTCGTATTTTGGCCCTCAGCTTCAGGTTTTGATGCCCGTTCTCCAGGTTCATATTTTGGATCTCAAATCTCAAGATAATTGGATGATACCAACCTGGGACCCCTCAATTCTAGGCTTGGTTCTCATGGCTTTGAGGCATGCTGTTTAGACATGCTCAGAAGCACCCTTGTCCTTCCTATTACCTTGCATGTTCTAGACCAGCTGTTCATAGGATTTACACCTTGGCTTTTCAATTCATCATATAATTTCCAAATTGTTTGTCACACACACTGCATTTTGCCTAAGGCTCTACCTAGAACAACATCATAAAAGGCTGCCCCTTTATCTGTTACAGAGTTATGACTTTTTGGTAAAATGCCCTTTTGCTAGGCAGGAGAAGTACAGAGATCTATGGAGGAGAATATCTACAAGTTCCCCGGATAGTCCACCCCTTTCTCATTAACTGGCACACAGTTTCAATAACTCACTCTGAAACATTGGTAGGAGAAAGAAAGAAGGAAAAAAACACATTTCTTTACCTAAAGTTTCCCGAAGTTACAAATTTGTGTATACCGCTTTCTTTACTGCACACGTACTTAGCAACCAACTGAACTGACCAACAGCAGACAAAACAATGGCCTCCAATAGATGAAAGAGAGGGAAAGGCTCTCACCAGAATTCAAAGACTGGAAGGAATGGCTTGGTTATAGCTGGATAGACAGACAATCAGCTCAGGAAAGTGCCTCCTAATCAAATTACGAGCAGCGGGCAGGTTGCAAATAAAATTCCAACATTATCTCTGGATGCCACTGACGTGGCAATCCTGTAAATATTATTATCTGTTAAGTCTGTATATTCCATGATAAGCCAATGTGATGCATAGTTCAGGTGCTGGTCTAGGACTTTTGGCACCTAGGTTCAAATTCCTGCTCAGCCATGAAACAAACTGGGCGAACTGGGGCCCATCGTAATCTCTCAGCTTGTCCTACCACACAGGGTTGTCGTGAAGATCACAGGCAGCAAAGCCATGGTGTAAGCAAATAATACAATGTTCACCTGTGCCTTGTACCACAGACAGCAGGAAAAAAACTTTCTCCCCATCTTTGCATGTGTAGGAAAAAAGAGGAAGCCACACCTATTGAATTCTTTCCTGTTAGGCAGTGGTTAAGAGCCCTCCAGGAAAAAGGGGAAAACCCTGGGATGGTGTATCGTTTCCTGAATGGTTTCTTTCTGCGTCATGAGGATGCAGTCTGGCTGCACGCCACACGGTGTCACGGTTGTGCTACGCCAGCGATGGCAAACCTTTTTTGAGCCCGAGTGCCCAAACAGCAACACAAAATCAAATTATTTATTTCAAAGTGCCAACACTGCACTTAAACCTGAATATTGAGGTTTTAGTTTAAGGGGAAAAAATACAACTCATGTCATTTCCACATTTTGTCTGTCTGGTTCTTTATTGATTCCTCCAAGTGACAGCTCTTTTAGAAAAAAAAGTCAAGTGCAAAATGCTACACTGAATTAAATGCACCCTATTTATAGAGCTTATTAAGTACGTTGAAATCCTGAACTTGTTTGCTCCAAAGTAAGCTACCCTCAGAAAAGCAGCTATATACAGGAGTGCAAATTTTTAAAGAGTATACCTACATTTTATACACTACGTAAAGTGTACAGTATATACACATTTCACTTATTTGAAATATAGTGTTGGAAAAGAGATTTGCAAATATCATGACTTGTCAGAAAGATATATAAAGCAAACACGTACCCAGGGAGAGGTCTCCGCATGCCAGCTGTGGCACGCGTGCCATAGGTTCACCGTCACTGCGCTACGCCATTGATTCCTAGGTTCCCCCTCTCCACCTCGCTTTGCCATCACCCCACCTCCCCTTATCAGAAAACAAACAATATCCATATGGAACTGAAGATTTAAAAATAAAAACAAATGCTTAATGAAAGTTATTTTAAACAAAAGGCAAGGGCAAATAGTTTTTCTTGGGAAATGGTTAGGTTCTGCTAATGATATCAATGTGAGACACTTTTCTAAGCTAGAAAAAATGGGTTGTTTAAGAAAATTATTTAATTTTGCACATGCATCCAATTTTGGAACCAGTATTCTGGGCTGTAGTGGAGAGGTGAGCAGGAGAGAGGCTGGTGGACCGCAGAGATCTGAGACAAAATATTGATCGCTAGCTAGCATGTTGAATAAATAACTAATCTTCCACTCCAGAAGCAATTTGATTGCTTTGGACTAGAATGATAACAATCCTTTAGCAAATGTGTATCAGCACGAAAATATATTTATTTATACAGTACTTGTTTTTTTTTAAAAATAGGTCACCCAAAGCAGCTTGCAAGATTAAAAATGAATAGAATTAAAAACATGATAAGTTAAACATTAAAAAATTAAACTATATGATCTAAAAACATGATAAGTTAAACATTAAAAAACTTAAACTACATGATCATTAAAATACAATTGGATAATTAAAAGCAAGTAAACATCAAAAACTATTATAACGCACACTTTATATTGCTATTAAAAGCAAGTAAACATTAAAAACTATTATGTACACTTTATATTGCCGTTCAGTGCAATACTACCTCTAATATGCTTAACAGACATCAACTGTTTTTCTCCATTGTCTTTGCTTTTATTTAACACACTTCTAATCCTGTTTTTATGAGGTGCGTGTGGTAGCATGTGAGGCATTATTTATTTTCTGCCACCAAACAGCCCACGTAACAGGTTACAGTCAATATTATACAGTATCTGTCTCAACAATGACAAACTAAGCAATGCAGTATGATCAGTGGATTGAAATAAACTTACAGTGGTGCCTCGCTAGACAGTTACCCCGCATGACAGTTTTTTCGCTAGACATTGGCTTTTTGTGACCGCTATAGCGATTCGCAAAACAGTGATTCCTATGGGGGAATTTCGCTGGACAATGTTTGGTCCCTGCTTTGCAAACCAATTTTCGCAAGACGATTTTGACAGCTCCCTCCGTGCCCACAAAACGGGTGTTTTCGGGACCTAAGCTTCACATGACAGCTATTTAAACAGCTGATCGGCGGTTCGCAAAGCGGCTTTCCTATGGCCGATCTTTGCTAGACAACGACAATTCTTCCCCATTGGAACGCATTAAACAGGTTTCAATGCATTCCAAAGGGGAAATGTTTTTCGCTAGACACTGATTTCGTTAAACAGCGATTTCAGTGGAACAGATTATCATTGTCTAGCAAGGCACCACTGTATACGGGTTAGGTCCAAGCTAGCTGAAGGACCGTATCTCCCCATATGATCCTTCTCAGCACTTAAGATCTTCAGAGGAAGCCCTCCTCTCGGTCCCATGGCTAGTCCAGGCACCATTGATGGGGACACAAGACAGGGCCTTCTCGGTGGCTGCTCCCAGGTTATGAAATGCTCTCAAAAATTGGGTTGGCCCCTTCCCTTTAATCCTTCTGACAACAACTGAAGACCTACCTTTTCCGGCAGGCTTTTAACCATCATGACGGAGTCCCTGCATGCTATTTTTAAAGACTTTTAAAAACGTTTTACACATTTTTAATCATTCAGAGGTATTTTATTCAGTTTTATAGTTTTTAAAAATGTAAAACCTACTGTGTTTTTAATTCTATTCTTTTTATCGCTGTGAGCCGGCTTATAAATATAATAAATAAACTTGCATTTAAGAAAGCCACAAGCTGCTGAACGCTTGTTCCTTTCTTCAGATTCCTGACAGCAACCCCATCAAGTAAGTTAGTTTAAGACATTATGTTTGAATCAGACTTTCAAGAAACAGGCCTCCTAAGTTCATCTCTGGAATCCTGGATGCTTCCAGATGGGCCTTTCATCGTCCAGCTGCCATGCATCGTTCATAGGATTTTACACAGATGACACGGTTGCCTTCTATTTATAGCTAGAGGTGTGAAGATTTGGACATGTGTAGTCCAAAACCATACACTGGCCCCCTTTCTCTCCCCCCCCCCCCCTGTTCTTGCGTAGCAGTTTGGTCTCCTTTGATCCCTACAGAAATAAAATTAAGTCTGTTATGGAGGGGGAAATGGAGTAGCTGAATAAAGTCGTTTGATGGGTAAAGCTAAGGGCACTCAGTCTGGAAGAACAGCCAGAGCCTTATGCAAAGCTCTGTGGTTTTGTAAGAGTTCTGTGTTATTCAAAAGCTGGCTCCTGGCATTCTGAGCAGTGGGCAGGTTATTTGGCCAAAGCTGAGTGGCTCCATTCTGACTCATGCCCAGCTTTGAGTGGCATGGTCTCCCCTCCCGTTGTTTTGCGGATGCTTTGAAGATTAAACAGGAAGTTAAAAAAAAGGAAGGCGAGGAAGTCCACAGGAAAAAAAAGTATGAAATAACACCAGGTTTCCTGTAGCATCTTGTGTCGCCAGTGCGGTCCTTCCACGGCCTGTGGTTCTCGATCTGAAATGTGCATGGCAGGGGGTGGTCAGAAAAGATTACAGTTCCCAGCATGCTCACCAATGGTGAGTGCTCTCTGCGGCTGATAGGTGCGGCAGTCCAACACGATCCGGAGTGCAGTTTTGCTCCCTTTGGAGCCGAAAGAGGTCTTCGATTTGGCTGGCTGAAGAGCCCTGTGTGACTCGCCATCCAGCACACAAACAGCCGGCTGGAATTTCTGCTCCACAAAAAGTTCTGGGCTCTTTGTGAAGACTTTGCGCCCATCCCTTGCTCGGTTTTTGGACACCACAGCCGCGAGATGATGGGGCACTGATAGGACCAGCACGTTTCGGAAAACAAGGGACATTCCTTTGATGGCAGGAAGTTTAGCAACGATCCTTGCACGTTCCTTTTTTGCTTCAAACGTTCCCCTGCCAACCACAGTACGTTAGTAGGAAGTTATATTTCCCCTTATCGGTAAAAACAAAGATCCACGGTGCACAAGAAAACTCACCTTTTTCTGTTAAACTCCGCTTGTGTGTGCATCTGATAACCTAGGGGCCGTTAGCATGGGGGGGGGGAACCACCAGTTTGTCTCCACACCAAGGCAAGAGAAGGGATTGGACTACAACTCCCATCATTCTCCACTATGGTGGTTAGAGGCTAATGGGAGATGGAGTGCCAGGACATCTGGAGGTTCACACTTCTAAATATTTCTGTGTGTTCTGAGACAGTGGGTGGAGGCTTTCTGGGCCGAGGTTCTCCTGGGACGGGGTGTGAGGAAGTCTCTGAAAGGGTTGTGTGTTGTTGGTTTTTTTGGATCAGCGTGTGAACTTTTGCACAACCTGTTGCGGCACCTTAGCTTCCCTCTCAGCAGCTCCCCGGAGAGCAGATTCAAAGACTCGGCTCAAGATGAGAACCCTGGCTTCTGTCCAAATATCTGCTTTCACGAGGGCTTGAAGGCAAGGGAGAGCCGGGTTGGGTTTCTGACATGGCACCTTTGAAGAACATACCCAGACCCGTTGCGAACACACACGTACAGATCTCAAAACTATTTTGAGGAGGCAGCCCGTTTTCAAAAGTCCTTTGCCGCTGGCAGAAATCCCAGTGCACAAGGAAAATCAGCTGCTCCCTTCCTTTGATCCTCCTGATCAACAACCCCCCCTTCAGAAAATTAACAGAAAAACGAGGAAGCAAAAAACGGAATGTTTATGGCGATGAAAGCCGTGTTTTCTACACTTCTTTTAAAACGTTCCAGCTGGCTCTGGCTATCACTATTCGTGACTGAGCTTTTCCTCCTCATCAGTTAGAATGTTTTAGAACATGCTGTGATCTTGCAGAAAGTGAAGGAGAAAGAAATTCCATTGAGGCATCTAACTTCTGCCCTCCAAATGAGTCAAAAAGTCTCTTTGCCCAGGAAAAAAATGGCACCACCAAATCTCACACCGCATGTAACAAGGTGTTATGTGTTTTTCCCCCTGTCCGCCACATAAAGGAGTTCCCGTATTTTTCCACGTATAAGACTATACTTTTGTCTAAAATCTTTAGGCTAAAAATTGAGGGCCATCTTATACGTGGAAGTAAGCTGAGGAGAGAACAAAAACAAGCGGAGGGGAATGCAGAGATCAAATCGATCCTGCAGAGTTTTGATCCCCTTCCCCCTACACTTGCTAATCCCCACTTAGATTTCTTAATTTTGGATTAGAAAAGTGGGGGCGTCTTATACATGGGGGCGTCTTATACATGGAAAAACATGGTAGTACATTTAGGGCAGAAACTATGATGAAGAACGCTTTACACCTCTCTACCTGTGACAGGTGTGCTTAGGATTATTTTGGCAGCAAATCTCAACCGTAGCCTGCGCTTTTCAAGTAATGTTGAAAGACTGGGGGAAAGACAGAATATCTGAAAGGAAAATACGCATCAAGAAGCTCCCATTTTAAGACACACTCAGCACCGCCAGTAGTATCGTTTAAGGAATCTGGTTTTAGAGAATGGCTGGTTTGTGACAGTCCAACGTTCTTTAACATTCAGCCATTGAGAATACAAAGATGAAATGTGTTGCTGCTTTTTGGGTAAGCTTTTCGTAACAGCGAACAGCAGCTGACATTTAGTCCCACGTATTTTTTTAAGGTGGAGGGAGCTCTTTTAAGAAATGACTTTGCTAGAGCTTCTGTTTTCTCCACCTCTTATTGCACAATCTTCCCGTAAACAAACCCCAAAGATGGTTAAAACCAGGCCAGGTAGGGTCCCACCCTGTGTCTTCCTTGTACTTTGGAACACCCTTTTTGTGTTGAGGATCTTTACAGATCTAATGAGAGCTGATCTTCCGATAATGACTCTGCTCGTTTCGGAGCCTGCGCACAGCACAGCCGAAAACCAAAGGAAAAACAGCGGAGTGGGGGAAATTAAACAAACAAACCTTTCAGCAGGTTAATCACCCCTTCGGGGTCAATTTTCTTGGGCTTGCATCCAACGCTTGGAAAAATTTACTCACCTGGATAAACTATGGTTTGGGGGGCTGTTAGCAAAAAATATAGTAACTTCCCCCAAGCTTCCATCAGAATAATAATAACTGTGTATTATCAAGTCAATTTGGACGTATGATTACCCTTTTCCATGGTTTTCTAGGTTGAGACTACTCAAAATTGGTTCAGCTTTGCCTTCTTTGGGTGGCGTCCTGGGAATCTGCAGCTTGGCCAAGGCTACACAGGCTGGCTCTTCTCCCAGGAGGCACAAGGAGGAATCGAACTCTCAACCCTGACAGAAGGCTGGCTCTTCTTCCAGGAGGCACAATGAGGAATCGAACTCTCAACCCTGACAGCCAGATACCAATTTCACTGAGCTATCCAGCCAGCTTTTCCAGTAACATTTACAACTATGCACCCATTCTTTCTTTTGCTTCTGATAACCAGAGGCCTTATATTTTGTCTTCCCTTGTGTGTGTTGATGAACACGGCATGGATCAGACTTCCATAGTTTCCCCTGCCGTTTTGATTTCAGATCATCACAAGCTTCCGTGGCCACGGGATTTTGTGCATTGAAATTTATCCATATCAAGTACAGTGGTGCCTCGCTAGACGATGATAATCCGTTCCACTGAAATCGCTGTTTAGCGAAATCATTGTCTAGCGAAAAGCATTTCCCCATTGGAATGCGTTGAAACCTGTTTAATGCGTTCCAATGGGGAAGAATCATTGTTGTCTAGCGAAGATCAGCCATAGGAAAGCCGCTTCGCGAACCGCCAATCAGCTGTTTAAATCACTGTCTTGCGAAGCTTAAGTCCTGAAAACACCTGTTTGCAAGTACGGAAGGAGCTGTCAAAATCATCGTCTAGCGAAAATCGGTTTGCAAAGCAGGGACCAAACATTGTCCAGCGAAATTCCCCCATAGGAATCACTGTTTTGCGAATCGCTATAGCGATCACATAAAGCCAACCTCTAGCGAAAAAACTGTCATGCGGGGTAACTGTCTAGCGAGACACCACTTGTAATAAGAAGGTAAATCAGGCTGTAAGAACTCTCTAACCCGATATGATATCATTGAACAATTTAGACCTGTTTTGTCAATGACAAACACCCGCTGTGGGTCTCCATTCTAGGGTTTCAGGTGCGTCGTCCTGCCTCCATCAGTCCCACTGGGGGAATGCCAGAACTGAATTTAGGACTTATTCTATGCCAGTGGTTCCCAACTCTGAGTCTCCAGATGTTCTTGGACTATAACTCCCAGAAATCCTGTCTAACACAGCTAAGTCGTGAAGGTTTCTGAGAGTTTTAGTCCAAGAACATCTGGAGACCCAAGACTGTGAACAACCACTCCACGCAGAGCAGACGGATCTATCCATGGTGATTCCTCAGTCATAAGAACATCTGGAGATCCAAGACTGGGAACAACCGCTCCACGCAGAACAGACAGATCTATCCACATTCATTCCTCAGTCAGACAGAAACCTTCTACAAGGGACCCCTCAATTCACAGCAGCTTGGTTTTTATTCCCCCTGCACTGGAATGGTCAATTATTCCAGTTATCAGCCAATGCCATCTCCTAGCATCCAAAACCTACTTTTATCGACCATCGTGTCTAGCACTGAAAATTGATGCCTTTAAGACAGCAATTTCGCAGAGATGGGAAGAAGAAGAGAAAAGTCATTGGAGGTCGGAGAGGAGCAGCCAGCAAAAGAACAGAAGTGTGAGGTGGAGGGAGAGGACAGGAGCTTGGAAGGGAGCGACCAGCAAGGAAGAGAGAGAAGGCATGAGGAATAAGATAGCAGCTGAGGTTTAATTTATAAAGCATGGACATTTCCAGGAATAAAACCATTATTTTAACATTAAGCCCAATGAGAAAATAGGGTCAGACTTAACAATGGCTTGATTTACAACTGCTGTCCGAAACCAGTTAGGTTGTATATATGGGACCTACCGTGTGTGTTTGTGTTTTAAAATATATATCACTAAAATAAAAAGTTTGCAACTATGAGTAAAAAAAGAAATCCCCTGGTTTTCATGCCTTTTGGGGGGTACAAATAGTTGATTAGACTTAAAAAAGAGGCAGCCTCCCACATTCTCCTCTTCTTCCGTCATCAGCATCTCTCAACAGACTAGCTCTGGTTATGATCTTGGTGGGGAAATCCCTGACTCCAGGAGCCGGGCAGTTCCATCCGAAACGGAGCAGGCACTTTGGAGCTGAGGAATGCAGGGAAGAGTCGGGAAGGGCTGGAAGCTGGAGAGATGGCCAGGATCGATGGACACCACACCCCACCCCGAGCCCTCGAGCAGGAGCTGTCTGGTCTGGCTCATAGAGCTGCTAGCAGTTGTTGACAGATTGGGCTCGAGGGGGGAGAGGTCCCTTACCAGGCAGATCTGCCTCCCTTGAGAAGGGTCTTTGGGTGGGGCACAGGTTCTGCCTGTCCTCCCAGGGAAAACCCAGGCCCCCCCGGGGCACGTGCTTTCTGTCGCCGGCCCCAGATGTGCTTGGATCGCACACACACAGGCATGCATGCTTCCATGATCTTGCCGAGGCTCTCCCAATGCGCAGCGGGCCACAGATGTGCCACAAACCTCTTGCCCACAAACCCAAGCATTCCTTGAATCCTAAAAAACAGTTTGGTAAAGCACGTGTATCCCCACTGTACATCTTTGACAAGGGCCGGACTGGAAGGGTTCCTTCCAGGTTTGAATTTAGAAGAAAAAGAAGTAGGTTATATTTTTTTCCCAAATTTTCCAGGAGGAAGAAACACCACCACCCCTGTGTGTGTGTACATTGTGTATACCATTTGGAACCCAGAAAAGAATAATTCCTTGTGCAGCAAAAGGGGATGGAGTACAGGAGCCGTGTGTGTTTCCAACAGTATCCGAGCAAGAACATTC